TCTCTATCTCTATCTCTATCTCTATCTCTATCTCTATCTCTATCTCTATCTCTCACTCGCGCTTTCGCACTGTAATCGCGGCTGTTTTACAATCGCTCGTCCGTTGCGACGGTCCCGGCAAGGGATCTGTCGCTCCTTAGGGATCTCGAATCCTGTGAGATCCCCCTTCGTCGCTCTTCTCTGCGTCACTGGTTCTTCGGTTTCGCCAATCTGCGATCGACAGCTTTCGGTAATTTTGTCTCATAACGGTAATTACCGCGAGATATTTTCGCTGTCGATGCCGGGCTCGCGGCCTTGATCGGCACGTACCATTTCTTATGACCGGGATCCTTTGGCCGGTATTGTTCTCGCGGCTCAGCTGTGGCATGCCTCTTTGCTCCTCGCCGCTGGATTCGCCAAATGTCACCTGGAATGTAAACACAGCTAACAGTATCGAGTATGATTTCGGTAGCTGTATTAGCGAGTAATCTGTACGATAGAATATTCAGGAACTCAGAGCAATCGGAATAATCGAGAATTTTATAACGTCAAATAAAGCGAGAGCGATTCACCTGAGCGAGAGCGATGAGCGATGAACTAGCGGTCGATGCTCCTCCGTCTCACGTCGTCCTCGGATTCCGTTGGTCCTGGTGACCGCCAAGGGAAGGCACAAAGTCTAGGACGCAAGGACCCTCAAATTTGCTCCACTCGCACGAAATAACTCTGAAATCGAGTCCTACGAACTCACACGAAAAAACTACGCCGGGACGCGATAAGCGGTAATATACGCGAAAGTTCTTCCGGGACGCGATACGCGAAAAACAGTCACGAAATTGGCGTGCCTTTTCTTGGAACGGGCGCCTCCGAAGCTGCCACGTCACAATATATATATATATATATATATATATATATATATATATATATATATATACAGGGTGTTCGGAAAGTACCGGGACGCCCGAATATCAGGAAAAATATAAGTTTTACAAAAAAGTGTTTCAGACAAAAGTTGTGGCGTTTAAAAAGATGTATTTACTGATCACATCAGTTTGACCTTGGGTTGCGTAGCGAAGGTCAGGTCAAGGTCACATTAATTTTTTTAAATGGAACACCCCATTTTTCATTGCATATTCTTATAGCACATCTCGAGAGCTTT